GCCAAGCGCCCGCGGCCCCGCGGCGGCTCCCGGGGTGTCGGTTCCGGGACGGCGAGTGACCCCGGCGGATCGGCGCGCGCGGAGGTCCCGGAGGAAGACTGGAGATGTCCGGGCCGGGTCGCCTCCTGCTCACGTACCTGTTCCCGGCCCTGCTGCTCCACGGTGAGTGTCGCCGAGTGCTGGAGGGTGGGAGCCCCGAGATGCAGAAATCCCCTTATGGGGCTGGGTCTTGGCGCCAGGAGCGCCTAGTCCCGTTTCTCCCTCTGCCCCCCGCAGGTCGGGTCGGAGCCCCGATTCCTCCTGCTAGCCCCAGTATGGGGTGTTTCTTTCCTGGGCGCAGAGCCCCTTCTTCCTTGCGGCGCCCCGAGCTAGTCTGTGACTGGACTTTTCTTTCTGGAGGGGTGCAGGCTCTCAAACGCAAGCCCCTTCTATCCCCTGCATCTATGGCATCAAGTCCCCGGGAAAGCTGTATCCAGCCTGTTAGATTTTCAAGTTGTAGACTGTCAGGAAATCTCAGGCTTTGTGATTCTTTTTGCAAAGTGTCAGAGTGCGGGAGAGGCGCTTGATGTGGTCCAAGCTTTTATGGGGCTGTAAAGAGAAACTATGATCTTCTAAGGGGAAAAACAGTTCCGGGCTGTCTTGCCCTTCTGAGGAATAGTGTTTGTTGAAGGGGGTGGTGATGGGGTTCTCTCCTAAGTGGACTGGATGCAGTTTCACGGAGCAGGGGACTTCTTGTGGCCAAGGTGTACTAATTAAAACCAGTCTCCTCGGTTCTCCGGAACTTGACTCCTTATTACTCTCATGCTCTGGCTTGATGGTTTCGTTTCTGTGCTTCATGTGCCACATTTTCTCAAGGGCTCTAGTAAATCCTTAGCTAGAAAACATCAGAGCCCCAGGAATTGCACTGAGAAAAAAAATAAGGCAGACTCGTGTGGGGTCACCAAGGCATGTTTCTGTGGCTAATTGGTGTGGCTAGTCAGGACAGGTGATGACAGAACTGTGTGCTGACTCAGATGTCCTGAGCTAACTCTCCCTTGATGGTGGACATCAGATGTTGTAGCCAAGTGTCTCCACCAGGAACATGACTCTCCTTCCTCAACACCCACTGGGCCAACCCCAGACCTCCCCGGATGAACTCAGCACTCTCAGGGTGCTGTGTTTCCAGGAGAGCATCAGAAAGCATTATAGCAAGCACTGAACATCAGGCTTTGATCCCTATGCAAGAGGAGAGGGAAAAGAAGGCAGTGGGCCAGTACTGTAGGAGCTGTAGGGGGCTTTTTAAGGTCCTGCTCTGGGACACGGCAGGGCGCCCAGAGTCCTGCAGACAACCTGTGGGGTGGGACTTGCCCTGCCCGATTGCCAAGGTGCACTGTGAGTCCCGGTGAGCCCAGACTTTATAAAAGTCAGGATGGAAGGCTTGCAGTTCTAGGGCCAGAGAAAGAAGGTATAATTATAGGGCTGCACTCCTAGGCCCATCTGCTTAGAATTACAGAGCAGTTTTAATCTTTGGCTGAAACATGAAACAAATCAGAGCCAATGAGCAGATCAAACGGCAGCTGCCACACACACCAGAAAAAAGAGGGCCAGAGAGATGAAACAGGGAAAATTGTCCCCTTAAAAAAATCTGTTGTAATATCTGTGAGGAAAAAAGATGATAATATGGTCAAGTCACTTCAAAGCTAAAACTTACCTTAAAATTTGGCATAAACAAATTTTTACATAAAATCATTGCCAGAGGACTACAAAGACAATCCTCTGAGATGTTGACTGGGCTAACTCAGACAGCTTTTATTGACCTTTTTTGAGAGGTAAGTAAGTGTTGTAATGAGACTTCTTACCCCCACCCAAGCTGGGATAGTAATGAGAACCCCAGTATATTCTTAGTGAGGTTTGAGTATGACCTCAAGTCTCCAAATTCTAGTCTGAGTTGACCTATTCTGAGATCCTGGAAAGGGGATTTACCCAGACATGTAGTAGACTCAGGACAGAACAGCATGGGGTGGGGGGTGGGGGGGTGAATAGGTAGGATAGCAGGGCCAGACCACAGGGCCTGTGGGCACATGTGTGCACCTTATATATGTTGTATGCATGTGTGTGTGTGAGGAGGTAAGATAAAAAAGGAAATTTGCATGGCTTAATTGGATGACAGGAATAATCCTGTAAAAAGTTGTCCAATTTCAACATGAATTTGCAATGGCAAAATTAATCCTGAAGTTGCTCAAAGATGTACTAAAGTACAGCAGTACATATTGAAACTCCAGCATTAATAATAAACAGGGAATAGTTATTTAGTGTATAAACCTCAGGATTTCAGAAAGGCTTGTCATAATTTGTTAGGATAATGTAAAGCATCAGGAAAGAATTGGGTATTCTCTCTCTCCCCTTTTTCCTCCAACTTTTAATTGATTGAAGTCGTTTTAACAGAAAATGGATATTAAATGACCTAACTCAAAAGAATGCCTTGATATGTGTTCCCTACCTGATAGTGAACAGTTTTGCAATGATTTAAAAATTCTGTAGTAACAGATAGACCCAGATCATATATTTTAGTAGGAGTTGTGTGAAGGGAATTACCTGAAGTCTTTTAGAGTGGCTTGATGATTTTTTTTCCTTGGCAAATAGGCTTTTTATTTTGCTAATCATAGGATATCATTTGTCTCTTTTGTCAGTAAGTTAAAAAAAATATATGCTCATGAATGCATTTGTGACCAACATTACTAAACTTAGTTTCGGGCATCATTTATTAGTCACAGTAATAAGATTAAAAAGTGTCTCCATGAAGATTTTGTAGGAAGATGCTATAGACCTACGATGTTTGGCAACCAATCTTTGTTCAGTTAGTTGGTTACTTTTATTTTCACGCATTGTAGGTCATAAATTTCCCCCAGATTCTATTGATGAGTTAATCAGACAAGACTCCAGCCTGTTGTTTATTTTTTGAACATGGTAAATGTAGTAAAAGGCCCAAGTTCAAAATTTGACGGTGTAAAAATGTACATGCCACTTTTATTTTCCCACCCCTTCAACTTCTGAAAACAATTGCATTTCTTAATCCAAATAAAGCCTATTGAATGTCATGAAGGTATGCAGCTGGAAAATGTCCATTATCACTGTTTTCTTTGCTTAGATGAAAAACCACAAAAATCATTCAGCTTCAGAAACACAGATTAGCCTGAGGTATTCTAGAAGTGGTGCTTTAATGCACAGCAAAGTGCTAATTCTCTTTGCTAATGGAAATACTTGATTTTAAGTTTTGGCGCTGATATTTGGGGAAATGTTTTATTCTTCAATGCTGTTTTCTTTCATGGAATTCATTGACTTTTTCTGAAAGGTGAAGACATCCTTTGATTCAAGCATGTTCTATTAAAACTTTAAAAAGTTATAGATTACCAAATGATAACTAGCGAAATGTGAGGAAACATTCAAATTGTGTTCAATAGAAATCTGTGAAATATCATTTTGTTGAAGAGTTTTGTTATCAAGAGAACAGTTTCTGCACCCGTTGCCTCTTGGTCATAAAATGAAATCTTGAAAAGAAATATGTCATGACTCACCTGTGCATAACAGGGAGCAAGAACATTAAAACCATGTTAACTATTCTCTAGGGAAGTAAATTGACTTGCTTCAAATGGTGACTAAGCCATGTTCACTCTTTTTCTCCCTTCATGTGAAGAGAGCTAAACTTAAGTGGAAGGCATGACTGTAATAACCTACTAGGTAGGGATGGACTGACAGCAAGTTGACAGACTCAAAATAAAGCATGAAACATTTAAGGCTAGAAATACAAAAAGATGTAGTGGTTGTATACAGCTACTGGATGCTTGGTGACAGAGAAAACTTCAGTAAAAACCCACCGTCGTTGTCCAAGCATTGACTTCCCACTTTGAGACTTTCGAGTACAAGTCGTTGTTTTGTTCTCTCCAGTTTGGGAGTAAACTCTTCTGGAAAATTATGTGATAGGTATCCAGGCTAGAGAAAGAGTATGGTGCTACCCTAAAATTGTTAATGGGCTTTTCTGTTTGGGTTTTCCAGTTTCATTCAATTGCTACCCTTCATTAAGTCAGTGTATGGACCCTACCACGTGGCAAGTGCCACTGCTTGCTTGGGACGGGTTGTCCTAAGAGAAGGAGCAGTCCCTCACCCCTGAAGTGCTCAGAAGCTTAGTTAGGGGTGAGAGAGAGAAGCTTATTGAAAAGCTGCAGTGTTGGGAGGCTGGATGCCTGTAGTCTTTTCCCTGCCGGAGGGTCCTAACACCCCACACCAGATGCACACTCACATAGGCACACACCGTGCTCACACACACTGTGCGCACAGACCACACTCACACACATGCACTGTATTATCACACACTACACTCACTGTGCACACCACATCCACTGTACTCACTGACAGCTGTGCTCAGCAGCAGCAGTATGTCAGAGACCCAGCACGTAGACTTTCCAGTCTCGACTCAGCCCCGCTGTCTGGCTGGGGACCATGGCCTTAGAAGAAAACAGTATAGTAGATTACCTTGTTTTCAACTAAAACTAGATGGAGCCAGGGATTTGAAATTTTTACTGTATTTTCTTATACAGGAAAAATATTTGTAGAGAGGAAGGCTTTTCAAGGTCAACAAGAGCAGTTCTCTTAGTTTTATCTAAAAAATGGGAAATACAAACAAAAGCTTTGGTAAATATAGGTATGTAAAATCCAGTGTGTTGGTGATACACATTTGTTTTTATTCTAAAACATGGAAAGCTGTGCTGGAGTTTATCTGGCAGCATCCACTTCAAAGTGCACATTTACAGTAATGATTGCTTATTTAATTGGGCAGGGCAATTTCATGGCTAAGTAATTACCTGCATTTAATCTAATCAGTCACATTTTATCTGCTTCTCATTACTTAAGTTGCAGTACCTGCTCCCCCATTCTGAACTAAAAGCACTTTCTCTCTCAGATTACCAAAGTAATACATATTACCTTGTCTGAAATAGCCCAAACCCTCTATAGAGCAAAAAATAGCCATTATTAGTATTTTGACATAATATTTATTCACCCATTTTTTTGTACAGTGATAAAATGGAGACCAACCTAATCAAAGAATAATTTAGTCCCAAGTGTGCTTGAAATTTGTTTTCTTCCTTTTTAAATTCTGTTGTTTATAAAATACTTTAGAGTTGGCC